TTTTTTTTTTTTTTGTCTTTTTGAGACAGGGTCTCCTTGTAGTCCCAGCTGCCCTGAAACTCACTATGTAGACCAGGCTGGCCTTGAACTCACAAAGATCCACCTCCCTCTGCCTCCCAAGTGCTGGGATTAAAGGCGTGCACCACCACACCCGGCCTTAAAAGCTTTTTTCTCAGATTTTTGAAAATACATGTTTAGAGCAGTTTTAGCTTTACAGCAAAATTAAGCAGATTTGGAAATTTTCCATAGGTCTTTTAATCTCAAACATCAGCTCTCTTATATATAATCAGTATCCCCCACCAGAGTAAGAAATGTAATATAATCAATGAACCTACATCAACACATTCTTATCATCTGTCTTACATTAGAGATGGGCTGGAGAAATAAATAGTGACATGTATCCACCATGATGGTATCAAACAGAGTGGTTTTCCTTGCCTCAAAATTTTTAGATTTTGTGGTTGGAGAGATGGCTCAGGGGTTTAAGAGCACTGGCTGCTCTTGCAGAAGACCTGGGTTCAATTCCCAGTACCTACGTGGCAGCTAACAACCATCCCTAACTCCAGTTCTAGGGGAATTTGATGCCTTCTTCTGACCTCCGTGGGCATTGTACAACACGGGTGCACTTACACACAGGCAGGCAATACACTCATACACATAAAATAAAAAATAATAAAAAAATATTTTTTAGGTTTTTTTGGAGGGGGGGATGGGTTGAGACAAAGTCTTCCTATAGCCCCAGCTGACCTAGAACTCACTATGTAGACCAAGCTAGCCTCTATCTCATGGTGGTCCTCTCACCTCTGCCCCCTGAGTGCTGGGATTAAAGGGGTGTACCACCACAACAGCAAAATTTTTGATGTTTTTGATTTACATATTCGGCCTAGACTTAGGTGATATCCAGATTTTGTGTATGTATTGGGGGGTACTATGTGTGTATACATGTTTTTGTGTTTGCACATGTATCTGTAACGACCAGAGGTCGACTTTGAGTATCTTCCTCAGTCATTCTTCCCCTTATATTTTGAGATAGTCTCTTACTGATCCTGGAGTTGCACTGATTGCCTAGCCTGGCTGGCCAGCAAGTTCCAGGGATCTGCTTGTCTCTGCCTACACAGCATCAATTACAGAAGCTTTATACAAATGCTGAGGATCTACACTCAGGTCCTCATGCTTGTATGGCAAGCACTTTACTGACTAAGCTATCTCCCTAGGCACCCTCGCCGCCACATACTGTTTTATTTTTTAATTTAACTTTTTTTTTTTTTTTCTGACTGGATCTTACTCTGTAGCCCAGGCTATCCCTGAACTTGTGGCAATTGTCCCACCTCAAGCTTTGGATACTGGGATTTCAGGCATGAGTCACCATACCCCTAATATCTAGATGTTTAATGTGCTTAATGACATTTGCCTTTTTACATTTACAGATGGATTGAGTGATGAGAACAATGATGATCGAGTATTAAAATGCTGTCTTCAGTACCAGGAATTGTTCCCATGTTCTCTTGTTATTCTGTGCACGTGAGTTTCATGGTCATTGTGCTTGTTTCTAAAATAACAGCTATGCCAAAGAATTTTATATTCACCAAATAATTATTGTCTAAATCTACCACTAATCATACTCAGTTGTATCCAGTATTTTTATTATGTATAATTTCAGAGATTTTAAATGGATAAAATTTTATTTCAATTTAATTTGTATAACATTTGGAAAAATATTGAAAAAGTAAATTTCAAAATGACAAAAATTTTTAGTTGTATGAGGCAAGAAATTGGTTATTATACATAGTGAGCGGGTAGTTTGTGTTACAGTTCTGTTATGGGTGTCTCTTATGTATTAAGAGTGCCTAGACTGGAGTCTTAGGCCTATCAGTTCTCACCTTTATGGCCCTGGACAATTTTTCTGACTAAGGTTACTTCTTCATATTTAATAAATGGGGAGAAGGAATACCTGCCTCACAAGATTAATCAGCTAGGACATGGAAAGGAGTTAGAGTAGTGCTTAGCACACAGTCAAATCTCAGTGAGTCTTTGCTCTTCCTTTTTCCTCTTTTTTTCTTCTCTTGCCATTGATATTTTCATAACATAGTGCTAAAATAAAACTAATGTAATGTGCCAAGTGAGGTGGTACATGCCTTTAATCCCAGCACTTGGGAGGCACAAGCAGTTAGATCTCTGTGAGTTTGAGCCTAGCCTGGTCTACATAGTGAGTTCCAGGGCAACTGGGGGTACAGAAAGACCTTGTCTCAAAAAGACAAACAAACAAAAACTAATGTAATGTTAGGCAAAATTGTATTATCATGTATAAGATAAGGCTATGGATGGACAGAAAAGCAGTTTTAATTCTGAAGTTATTCACTGCACAATCGAGTTTTAGATTTTATGATCATACTCAAATTCTTCACATGAAATGGAATTTTTATAGACATAAATAGCCCAAAGTGTTTCTTTTAAAGGAATATGAAAATTTTAACTATTTTCAAAGTGATTGTTACTCTTTTTTTTTTTTTTTTGGTCTTTTTGAGACAGGATCTCCCATTAGCCCCAGCTGGCCTGGAACTCACTATGTAGACGAGGCTGGCCACCAACTAGCAGAGATCTGCCTGCCTCTACTTCCCAGGTGCTGGGATTAAAGGCATGAGCCACAACGTTTGGCCATTGTTACTCTTTCTATTACTGAAGTAAATGCTGGAGATTGCTATCTCTAAGCATTATGTGTTGATTTAAGGTATAGCACATCAGAGTTTGCTGAAGGCTAAAATATAATGAGTAATATGTAAACCAATTTGATAATTCTTTGTTATATAATTACTATATTTTTAGTTCAGCTTAGAATGAAGATTAGAGAGGCAATTATCAATTTTCCTTTATTTATACAGTCATTTTTTTAGGATTAGCAGAAATGACATTTTAGTGAAATGAAAAATTGTAACCAAACCGTATTTTAATTCTAGAATTGTTATGTTTCCTCCCTCTCTCCCTCCTTCCCTCCTTTCCTCTGTCTCCCTGTCTCTTTCTCTTCTCTCTTTCTTGGTTTGATGATTTTTCTTTAAATGGTGATAATCATGTGTACTGTATAAGTTATCTATTATAGTGTGCTTACTATTGTGAGAGTAAATTTATTTTACTTGAATGATAACAATGATGATGTTATAGTTATTACCAATTGATGATGATAGTAATAGGAAAAACTACAAAGCTATATACTATATTATTAGTATTTTTGAAGCTTTGCAAAGCCAAATTTTAAGAGAAAATAAGCAAGAACCCAGTCTCCCCATAAGATGGGATCTGGATCTGGAATCTGCTACTGTATATTATTGTTATTATTTTAAATTTTATTTATTATTTTTATTTTATGTGTATGAGTGTATTGCTTACATGTATGTAAGTGCACCTGTGATGTACAGTGCCTGCTGAGGTCAGATGAGCGTGTCAGATTCCCTGGAACTGGAGTTTCAGATGGTTGTTTTCTGCTATATGATGCTGGGAATTGAACCCAGGTCCTCTACAAGAGCCATTAGTGCTCTTTACTGCTGAGCCACTGCTCCAGCCCCTGTGTACTTTTTTAGTGCTTTATGTACATATACTATATTATGTCTGGGCTAGCTACCTTCAACTAAAATCTCTAGTTCATATTATTCTTCTAAATTCCAGACTAATATAATCACCTATTTACTTGATAGTTTTACTTGTTTTACTGCAGAGACATCTGAAATCTACCATCATTAAAAATGAGCTCTTAGGGCTGGGCATAGTGGCATACATCTTTACTTCCAGCACCCTCAGGGTAGAGGTAGGCATATCTCTGTGAGACAGAGGCCAGCCTGGTCTAAACACTGAGTTCCAGGCCAGCTAGGGCTAAAGAGAGATGCTGTCTCAAACAAACAAAGAAATGACCTCTTAGTTTTTCCCTTCTAAACTATGCTTCATGTGAATTAAAAGTGCCACATCCTACCCATTTCCAAAGCCAGAAAGTCATTTTTGTTACCTGCCTTTCCTTCAGAATCCAGTAACTTAGTCCTGTGAGGTCTTTTCATTGTCTCCCTGCCACTATCCTGTCTTAAGCCACACCTTTTTCCTTTTCTACGCTTCTTAACACTGTTGTGCTTTCTACTTCCATACCTTTTCTTTAATTTATTCTTCTAAAAATTAAACTGGTGTTTCTGAATTTTTTCAGAAGATTTTAATTATCGGTCTGGAGAGATGGCTCAGCAGTTGAGTGCTTAACTGTTCTTGCAGAGGATCTGGGTTCCCAGCACCCACACGGCAGCTAACAAGTACCGATATCCCAGTTCTAGGGGATCCAGTGCCTTCTGGCATCTGTAGGCACCAGGCACATACATGATGCACATACATATATGTAGATAAAATACTCATACACATAAAAATTAAAAGTGAGTAGATCTTAAAAAAAAAAAGGAAGGCAGAACAAAACTTTTTTTTTTTAAGTATTTCATTATGAGGAATCCCAACAATATTCAAAGTAAAGATGAATAAACTCCTGGGGTTGGCAGTATAGTGGCAGGGTGCTTGCCTAACACGCATGAGGTTCAAGTCCCAGTGCTGGAAGTGTGTGTGCTGTTCTAGTTTGCTTCTCTATTGCTGTAACAAAGCACTGACCAAACTTGGGGGAAGGAAAGGGTTTATTTCACTTATAATTTTATAGTCTATCATCAAGGGAAGCTGAGACAGGAACTGAACCATGAAGGAAAACTGCTTACTGGCTTGCTCCCCCTGGCTTGCTCAGCTACCTTTCTTGTATAGCCCAGGCCCACCTGTCCAGGAATGGCACTGCCCACAGTGGGCTGGGCTCTCCTCACTTAGCAGTTAAAAAAAAAAAAAAAAGAAAATACCCCACAGACATGCCTGCATACCAAACTAGTGGAGGTAATACCTCAGTTGAGGTTCCTTCTTCCCAGGTGTGTCAAATTAAGAACTGAAACTAACTATGACAGTAGCTACAACAATTATTAAGATTCTGCCAGGAGCAGAGAAACTGACTCAGTGGTTAAGAGCACATACACACTGCACATGAAGGCTCATACCCATTCTTAACTCCAGTTCAAGGAGATCTGATGCCTTTTTCAGCATACTTACATAGGTTCAGGCAAAACACTTATATACATAAAATAAAAATAAATTAAATTTTAAAAAGGATTCTGCCATTCTCTTCATCATCTATATCTTTATCCATTTCCTATTTCATCTAGTCCCTACCAATTTATTTATTTATTTTTAATTTTTTAAAATTATTTTTATTTTATGTGTATGAGTGTATTGCCTGCATTTAAGTGAGTGCACCCGTGTTGTGCAATGTCACAGAGGTCAGAAAAGGGCTTCGGATTACCCTGGAACTGGAGTTAAGGATGGTTCACAGCCACCATGTGGGTGCTGGGAATTTGTTTGTATTTGAGGAAAAACATACTTATATTGAAATTCACAAAGGTATTAATAACTATTCCATGTTGACAAATGGATATATTAGCATAGTTCACATTTCTCTCAATAATGGAACGTTTCTATCACCCCAGAAAGTACTGTTGTGTCTCTTTGTTTTTTTTCTTGTTTCCTAAGATGCAAGTTTAGGGGCTGGAGAGATGGCTCAGTGGCTAAGAGCATGTCCTTTTCTTGCAGAGGTCCAGTTCCCAGTTTGGTTCCTGACACCCATATCAAGCAGCTGACTGCTGCTTGTAACTCTAGCTCTTGAAAGATGATGCCTCTGGCTTCTGAGGGCACCTGTGCTCATGTGCACATACCCGTACACAGATATAAACACATACATATAGTTCAAAGTAATTATGAAAATAAATCTTAGAAAAGATACAAGCTTAGATTATTTGAGGCTGCTATAAATTTCTCTTTAAGCACTGTGATAGTTATATTCCACAAATTTTTATATATTTTTATTTTCATTCATTATTTATGTGTGTGTGTTCATTGGAAAGATATTGATGTCTTCCTCAATTGCCCTCTGCCTTATTTTTTTGAGATGGGGTGAATCTTTTACTGAACCTGAGCTTGCTAACTTGGTTAGACTAGCTGGCTAGCAAGCCCTAAGGAACCATGCCTTCACCTCTACAGTGCTGAGGTTACAATTGAGGAATGCCCTCAAGCAAAAAGATGCATACTTGTAATGAAATGTGTATGTGTTTAAGATTATATAGGATTTTCTTAGAAAATGAACCTTTCTAACTTACTTGCACCTTATAATACTCCTGGTTCTAAAGTCTCCTTTGTTTAGTGTTAATGCAACATCTCCTTTTTCCCCACCCAGGATTGAATCTAAACAAGGCAAGTGCTCCGCCACTGAGCATACCCAGTCTTCTTTTTACTTTTACTTTTGTTTTTGAAACAGAGACTCACTCATAGACCAGGCTGGCGTCTAATTCATTATGTAGCTCAGCCTTCCAAGTGCTAGTATGACAGAGTATGACAGACATTGGCCACCATGTCTAGCTCAAAATTATTTTGAATTCCTTGGCTACCTCTGTCCTGTGTCTGGTTCTACTGGTTACTTGGCCTCTTGGCAGTGTTGTTTTTGTATGTTGGGGGGAGGGAGTAGGGGGAAGGGAGTGCAGAATTATGTGCTGATTTTTGTTTTTTCTTATTCTCTGGCTATTCCTTTCATTTCCTCCTTATCTTTCTAGCTGTTCTAGTCAGCTGTGTACACGATTCTTTGAATATCATGACATAAGTCTTTTGACTTTTTATTGTTATATATCCTCAGCAAAAACATAGGAACTTGTAGAATCTCTCAAATGCTGTTTCTGTGTCTTGGGTTCAGGCTCCTTATTAGCTTCTGTCTACATGTTGTTGGTTTTTTTAAAAGTATTTTTACTATTTTTTTATGTGTATGAGTGTATCACCTATATGCGTGTAAGTGCACCTGTGTCATGCAATGCCGTGGAGTCAGAAGAGGGTGTTGGATTTCCTTGGAACTGTAGTTAGGGATGGTTGTTAGCCATCATGTGGGTGCTGGGAATTGAAACTGGGTCCTCTGCAAGAGCAGTGGGTGGTCTTAACAGCTGAGCCATCTCTCTAGCCCTGTTGTTCTTTAATGACTTCAGATAACTACTGTTTTTTTCTTTTTATCCAAATTTTTGTAATTTTCATATATAGGAAAATTAGTTTGATCAAGTTCCTCAGCCATTAACAGACACTGGAAGCCTACTGGGTTTTGGAACAAGTTTAAGAAACAAATCTGATCATATTGAAGCCTTTGATGTCTTTTACTTGTAATACCTTTGCCTTTCTCTATAATCCATAAAGTGGTATCAAGCACTATGGGTTTTTTGGTGTTTTGCTTTTTTTTTTTTTTTTTTTTTTTTTTTGTGTGTGTGTGTGTGTGTGTGTGTGTGTGTATGTGTGTGTGTGTAAAAGCTAGAGATAAATCTATTGTCTTCCCTAATTGTTCTCCATCTTAATTTTTGAAACAGGGTCTTTCATTGACCCTAGAGCACACCAGTTTGTTAGACTATAGCTAGCTAGCCAGTAAACCCCAGGGGTCTGTCTGTCTCTACCTTTCAAATACCATGGTTGGCTTTTTACATGGATGCTGGGGAATCTGAACTCTGATCATCATGCCTGCCCAACAAGCACTTTTACCAACTGAGCCATGTCTCCAGCCCCTAATCATATTTAACTTCTTTCAGAAAACAGAAAATTCACACTATTTGTCCTAATGTTAATTTTGATTGAATTTATAATCCTTGAATAAATTATTTTTTATATAATGATTTTCTGGGCTTACTTCTTTTTGGATGATTGTATTCCTGTGTTCAAATTCAGATTCTGCTTTACTGGGTATAACTTTGAATGAGTCTGTGTGTGGTTGCTCAGAGAGACCAGATCCTCTGGAGCTGGAGTTACAGGTGGCATGAGCTGCCTGATATGGGTGCTGGGAACCAAATTCTGTTGCTCTGCAGGAGCAGGAAGAGCACTTAACCACTGAGCCATTTCTCCAGCCCCTCTATAAGTACTTTTTAAAAATAATATTTTTTTTTATCATTTTATATGTATGAATGTATGTATGTAAGTGCACCCATGTTGTACAATACCTGCAGAGGTCAGAAGAGGGTATCGGATCACCTAGAATTGGAGTTATGGATGGTTGCTAGCCACTATGTGGGTGCTGGGAACCAAATGTGGGTCTTCTGCAAGAGCAGGATGTACTCTTAACCACCAAGCCATCTCTCCAGCCCTATCTCTATATGAATTCTTAATTCTTATATCAAGTTATTTTTAAAACTTTTTGACTGTTGTTTTTGTGTGTTTGCTTGTGTTTTTGTAGTTTGGGGGTTTTGTTTTGTTTTTTGAGATAATATCTGCCTGTGGCCCCAGCTGGCCTAGAACTTGCTACCTAGAAACAGGCTAGCCTAGATCTCACAGAGATCTGCCTGCCTTTGCATGAGTGCTGGTATTAAAGGTGTGCACCATCATACCAGGTCCAAACTTTTTAACCATTCTTGATATTTATGCTGATAATTAATCATCCTTAATCAACCTTTGAGTGGATTCCATGTGTTTCAAACTGCCAAATACTTTATCTTACAAAAACTTTGTTTTTTCTTCTCCTAACCTCGTTTTTAGGGATGATAGAAATTTAAGAAGTAAAGGCCTAATAAGTAATGTGAAGTCTGTCAGTAAAGAAGAATTGAATGCAGAGTTATTAAGCTTGTCTCTGAACATAGATATGTGCCATCAGCCTTGTATTTCTAAGCAACAGTTGAAAGCAGGTAATATGTGCACTGTGAATAATTAGAAATATATCTTATGCACTAATAGTTTTGGTTGCATTTGGAATTAATCATATATTTTCATCTTATACATTTAAGATAATAGTAACTTTACATTACTTACTTGTATGTATCAAGTGAAAATTATAGTAATTCTTTGGAGACAGGGTCTCATTATATAGTCCAGGTTGACCTTGAACCCACGATCCTCCTGCTTCAGCCTCTCAAATGCTGGAATTGCAGAAATGAGACACCACATTTGGCTTAAATGAAAATTATAATAATTCAAAAGCAAAGATTATTTTTTTATCTATATGTACTTAAAATTGTTTATTTTTATTTTATGTATATGAGTATTTTGCCTGCATATATGTGTATGTACCAGGTAAGTGCAGTGCCTGTGGAGCCCAGAAGAGGGTGTCAGGTCCTCTGGAACTAGAGTTACAGAGGATTGTTAGCCACCATGTTGGCTGCTGGCAGCCAAATCCAGATCCTCTAGAACAGCCAGTGCTTTTAACCACTGAGCCTTCTCTCCAGCCACTACTATTTTTTTTTTAATAATCTGTTCTCTGACTTGATATTTGATGGAGTATTATACTGCATGACATCAAGTTTTAAAAATAATTTATTTATCTGTTTATGTTTTTTTGACACTAGGTGTCTCTGTAGCCTCAGCTGGCCTGGAATTCTATGTAGACCAAGCTAGCTCAATCTCTCAGAGGTTTGCCTATCTTTGCCTCCATAGTGCTAAGATTAAAGGCATGTGCCCACCAGGCCCAACTACATGACATTATAAATACATCTGTTCTAGTTACTTTTTCTGTTGCTGTAACGAACACCATGACCAAAAGCGACTTGAGGAGGGAAGCAGTTTTCATTTTAGATCTCCCAGGTCAGAGTTCATCACTGAGTGAAATCAGGTCAGGAACTTGAGACAGAAACCTGGAGATAGGAGCTAAAGCAGAGACCATGGAGGAATTCAGTTTTCTGGCTTGCTTCTCCTGGCTTGCTTATTTTCATGTCTTATAGAGCCTAGGCCCACCTACCTAGGGATGACATTGCATATCAACCAGCAATCAAGAACATGGCCACAGGTCAGTCCAATGGAGGAAATTCTTCAGTTGAGGTTCCTTATTCCCAGGTGACTCTAGTCTGTGTCAAGTAGATACAAACTAACCAACATAACATCTCAACTTTCCCCTCTGTAAGGGAAAGTAATTGAGATTTAAAAGTTGAGATTTAATATATATAAGATATACTTTTCATAGGTAATTGTGTACATGCTAATGCACTCATACATGGTGCTTATTTTCTCTTTTTGAGAATAACACATTTTTTTGTCATTATATTCAAAATGACATTTGGGAGAAATAACAGGATATTTTATTTTATGATTTTTCAAGAGTAGCATACTTGAGAGTCTGCCCAGTATTTACTGTTACTTAATTTTATTAAAAATATTTTATTTTGGGAACTAGAGAGATAGCTCAGTGGTTGAGAGCACTAACTGCTCTTGCAGAGGACCTAGGTTCAGTGCCCAGCACCCACATAGCATCTAACAACCATCTGTAACCCCATGTCTAGGGGCTCCAGTGCCCTCTTCTCATCTCTGCGGGCATTGCACAACATGGGTGCACTTACATACATGCAGGCAATACACTCATACACATAAAATAAAAATAATAAATGAAGATATTTTAAAAAATATTTTGTTTTGTTTTTATTTATGTGTATGTGCGTGTCTGAATATATACTATGTATGTACAGATGCCCACAGAGGCCAAAAGAGGGTGTTGGATCTTCTGAATCTGGATTTATGGATAGTTGTGTGCTTCCATGTGGGTGCTGAGAACTGGACCCAGGTCCTCTGTGAGAGCAGACAGTGCTCTTAACTGCTGAGCCATCTGTCCAACCCAAGAAAGGCTTATTTTAAAAGATAATAGCATGAATGTAGATAAGCCACAAACCTTGGTCTTTTTTAAAACTTTAGATATAGGCTGAAATATATAAGATTTTGGGAGGAAAACCTACTTGATGCATAGTCCTTAGAATAAAAAAAATTTATTTTATTTATTTACTTTTTATTTTTTCTTTTTTGAGATAGGGTCTCCCTGTAGCCCCAGTTGACCTGGAAGTCACCATGTGGACCTGGCTGGCCTTGATCTCACAAAGATCAGCCTGCTTCTACTTTCTGAGTATTGGAATCATTGGTGTGTGGCCACCACACCCAGCCTAGACTTTTAAAAATAAATAAATCCAAGGCATTTTTGTAACTCTAATTTTTGAAAATGGAAAAAACTAAATTCAGTTAAAATAACATGATTTTTAAAATATTTCCATTTGAATAGAAATATTTTAGTTTCATTTTCATCAGATGCCCTAAATAGGGGCTGAAGATACAGCTTGGTTGGTAAAGTGATTTTCTACCATGTACATAGTCCTAGCTCTGTGTTCAATTCCTAGTGCCAAATAAACCTGTAATGGGTGCTGCATGCCTATAATCTCAGCACTGGGAAATAGAAACAACAGGTTCAGGGTTCTTCTCAGCTACACAGTAAGTTTGAGGGCCACATAGATTGCATGAGATCCTGTAAACCCAAAAAACTCCTCCTAAAGTAAAACCTATAACTTCGTTTTAAAGAAACATCACCTGTCAAAGAGACTTCCAAAGAAGAAACTACAAATTCTGAACTGTCCATTCTTCTTGAACACATTGTATGTGATCTTGAAAAATCTCTTGGAACAGCTTTATCTACAATATTAGAAACAGAAATGAAAATCGCCTTTGGAAACCTTTGGATGGAGGTACTTAGTTAATTAAATTATTTGAAAATTTCTGTTAGGAAAGATTTGTTTTTGTTTTTTGTTTTTGGGGGTTTTTTTGGTCTTTTGAAACAGGGTCTCCTTATAGCCCCAGCTGGCCTGGAACTCGCTATGTAGACCAGGCTGGCCTTGAACTCACAGAGATCCACCTGTCTCTGCCTCCCAAGTGCTGGGACTACAGGCATGCGCCACCATGCCCGGCTTTAAGATTTGTTATCTTAAGAGAGATTTGTGTAAATTAAAAAGCTTCATAGTAATCCATATCAGATTTTTCCAAGATTTTTAAATAATTTTACAAAATTTTACATTTATTTATGTATTTATTTATTTAGAAAGAGTGTGTGATTGTGTATGCAGGTAGGTATGTGCTTACCAAGATACTCATGTGTGAAGGTCAGAGGACAACTTGTAGGAGTCAGTTTTCTCCTTCTACCATGTGGGTTTTCAGGCCTGATGGCAAGTGCCTTAATGTGCTGAGTCATCTTGCCAGCCTTGTAATAACTTTTTGAAAATTATATGATGTACCTTTCATAAAGGTTAGGACTATGTAGTATTATTATTTATGTATTTATTTATTTAGAGTAGAATGAAAGTTGATTTTTTAAAGGGAAAACGAGAAAGAACTTGGCAAGTGGGAGAGGTTCTAAAGGAAGTTTCTTTTTTTGTTTAACTATTATTTATGGTGCATCTCCTATGAATATTTGATATTCTGACTTCTTGGAACTTAAAATGAGTCCATAAAAACCTTGTGCAAGGGCTAGGGATATAGCTCTCTTGGTAGAGTGCTTGCCTCTTACTCTATGAGGATACGGGTTAGGCTACATAAACCATGTTTGGCACATGCCTGTAATGCCAGCATTCAAATGTGAAAACAGAAAGATCAGTTCAAGATCATCCTTGGCTACATAGAAAGTTTGAGACTAGCCTGGGATAGAGGTTAGACCCTGTCTCAAAACCAATCAAACAAGCAACCAGACATACATACAAAAAATAAATGCTTTGCTCATTTAATTTGATCAGAATGTTTGTGTATTTGGCTTATGCCATGTAAATATGAGAGTACAAATTGATCATCTTAACAAGATATTTTGAATTTTTCTTTAGACTAATCCCTTTCAGTTAACTAAAATGCTAAATTTAGCAAGAGTAATCTTAAAAATTCAATTTAGGGCCAGGCGTGGTGGTACATGCCTTTAATCCCAACACTGGGAGGCAGAGGCAGATGGATCTCTGTGAGCTCGAGGCCAGCCTGGTCTCCATAGCGAATCCAGGCCAGCTGGGGTTATAGGGAGACCCTGTCTCAAAAAAAGACCAAAAAAAAAAATTCAATTTAGTACTTGTTTTATATTCACATTTGTATATTGGAAAAACATAACCCATCAATTATGGCTTGTATCTTTATTCCAGCTATTAAGATTCTAAAACTTTCCAGTGTGATATGTTTACTACTTAATTATATTATCAAATGTTAAACCAAGAATAATGAAGAATGATGAAAAAAATCTTAGGGTTACTATAAATTAGGTATTTCATAGAAATTTGAATGATTCAGAGAGAACTTGGAAAGTGGGAGAGGTTGAATTGACTTCTTTTTAAACTAAGATAT